AGATATATATATATATATATACAGATATATAGATATAGATAGATATAGATAGATATAGATAGATATAGATAGATATGGATATAGATGGATATAGATGGATATAGATGGATATAGATGGATATAGATGGATATAGATATAGATATAGATATAGATATATATAGATATAGATATATATAGATATAGATATATATAGATATAGATAGATAGATAGATAGAGATATATAGAGATAGATAGATAGATAGATAGATAGATAGATAGATATATATATATATATATTTTTTTTTATTTATATATAGATATATATATATACACACACACACACACACACACACACACACACCCAACGCTAAGATAACTTGTCTGGGGATTGTGCAGTCATTTATGTCAGTGCTGACCTTATTTCTTCAGAAGTAGATCTGTGATTTGGAAGTGTTTGGAACAGCTGAAGGATCTTTAGCCTGGAACTGCCTAAACATTCAGACTCTGTACCCTCTTGACTGCAAAGGTCATATAATTAGGTCAGACTTTTCAAGCCCCAAGTGAACCCTGCCCATGCTGTTCAAGAACACTGACTATTAACCTATTTTAAAAAAAAAAATGCAAACTTGGTAAACGAACTGCTGACCTGCCAATAGCAGGTCAATATACAATGTGTGTATAACATATGTCTTATTGTTGGGTTCCCAGCATTTCATGATAACAAAATTCCCTGATTCCCTGAAAGGCACCATGAAGGGATTATTTTCAGTTAACTCTGAAAACAGGTTCAAGCTTAGCCACTTCTACTTGGTTAAATGAGCAGTCAGTTGTAGAACAAAATACTGAATCAGAAATTTAAACATGATTTATATCAGATTTAAGTGTTTATATCCATCATAAAACACCCAGCCTTACCTTTGATCATGTGATAGGTCCATGGCTCGAATGCCTGCATCACAGCCTGGATAAATGTAGAGCTTTCTGAAGTCACATGCCTGCCACACCTCCACGATGCCATTATCTCCCCCCGTCACCAGGTTGTGCCCATCGCTGCTCAGAAGAATTGCCTTCAGGAGGGATAAAGAAGAGTTCAACTTGTCACCTCTGATTTAAAATCCTCTTTTAATAGTGTTCTTTCTGCAGAATGCAAATTATTCACTGAAATAAAGTAAAGTACAGTTTGACAATATGTGGCAACATTTTGCGCTAATTTTTTGTGTGCTGAATTTCTAATTTGTAATTGCTTCAGTCATTTGAATATTTATCTTAACACTAGGATAAAATGATTTGTTGTGCATGATAAAATCTAGAACACATATGGTAATTGTTTCAAGCCTATTGCACATGTCAGATTGACCTGTTTATTGATTTATTTACTGTTAATGAGATTGTTCAGAGGATAAGCAGGGTTTTAGACTTTAATAAGGTTTTCTGAGTGTAAGCTCATGCATAAGATTTAAACTCGTCTCGTATATACAAATATATTCCTTTCATGATTGGAGTATGCTAATATCAAATCTCTTTACCTTTGTGGAATCATTAACCTCCATTTGTGCCAGAAGCTTTCCATTAATGCTGAAGTTGCAGAAGCAACCCCTCTCATAGTAGATGATGCAGTGGCCTTCGCTGGACACTGTGATGAGTCGTGGGCACTGGTAGTTATCTGGTCCTTCCAGAGCCCGCAGTAGGTCCCCTGTTATGGTGTGGACCAAACACGGACCCTCTACCAAACCAAAACACGTAAGTATGAACCACCTGTCCCTTTGAGCTCTTAATTTTTCATCCAGACATTTTATTTGAGAAACTGGCTAAACAGATGTATTCACTGAAATGACAAATATCATTGTTTGCTCATATCAGACAAAGGTTTCAAGTGTTTTAGATAACAGCACAAGTGTTCCTGATGCTCCCTTTTCTTGAAAGCTACATGAAGAGGTGAAGTTCACTGACCTTTGGCTCCACTGATGACTAGGCCCAGTTCTGCACAGACTGACACACATGCTACTTCTTGGTCATGACCAGTCAGAACTGCTCGTGGGGATGGATAGTCACCTAAAAGATGAGTTACATTTATTATAAAACAAACTAATAGTAGCTTCCAAGTAATTATTTGTTAAATAACACAAATAAAAGTCCTGCATTTGTTACATACACCTACTAAAAAAGAAGTCCTGTTGAATTGTTATGTAAATGTATGGATAGCTGTCAAACAACTTGATTTCACCCCACGCATCATTTGATTGATGATGGCTGGGAGAGAGGTTAGTGAGGGGTGTTTCATGGCACCTGGAGCCACTGATCCTGACTACTTGCTACAATGAGAAAAGTATTGGTGTCTCTTAAATTTGTTGATCACAAAATTCTCATACCTTAAATCTTTGAATATTTAATAACAAAGGAATGCAAAAAAAAGGAGAGAGTTATATACAACATTTAATAAAGGATAAATTTACCAAATAGTAATTATTTATCATTAGAATTTTTCCTACGTATAACATTTTAAAGTTTTGTTGTATTTTTAAAAACTTTGTAACTTTTAGAAACATAGAAAACTTGTGCCAAAGTCACATCCCTGAATATACTGAAGTCCACAAGAGACATTATTTTCAGTTCATGACAGAATCACCATAAAAATATAAAGTAGACATGTGTTAGACACCATCTTCATCAGTAGCTTGGTATGTCGCCTCCACAGCTGCAGCTGTCCAGCCAGTGAGCTGGACTGTGATCGATGCATCGCAGTCCCTTAGAGACCAGGACCTGAGCAGCCCTGTCAGTCCCAGCGCCCTTTGCTGAGGGAACTGAATAGGACAAGTGTCAGAAAAATCCCCCAGGGAGCAAAAGCAAGCTCACCTGCCCAACAAAAGATTCAATCATCCTGCATCAAATATCCCGTCTTGTGGTAGCCCATGGGACAGTGGATTCAGCCACCACAATTAACCTGGTGCAAATATCCCCTCATACCAGCGTGATGGGCCGAGTCTGAAAAGCCAGGCAATGATTGAGCTGGAAGTTGCTTTAATTATTACACATTTGATATGCATACATCCTTTTAGGGATGGGTGAAATCAATTTCTTGCTCATGCCACACCTGAAAGATGAGGGAGCGGTGGTCCAGCACACTGCTGCTACACACTCACACAACCTTTAACAAGCATTACAGAAATTACAACAGCCATGAAATTAGGGTATTAAACTGAGGCCCACCAATGTGACCATATGAAAAGGTGATTGTGGTTTATGCTGTATGGCAAAAATTTGCCACCTAATTAACAGATTTTTTTTTTTTTGCTGCATTGCATTGTGACACACAATTTGTGTATTCTGGGCTAATTTAAATTCCTCTATTTCTACCGTTCCTATTTTTTAGCATGTGACGCTTCAGTTTGTCCTTTTGTCCGCTGAAGATAAACTGTAAGCTGTGGAAGTGTGAATATCAGGGGCTTACTGTTTTCCTGCTGGAGTAACACAAGTGTTGTTGCCCCTTGCTAATTGGAGGCATCCAAGCTGAAATTCTTAATTAACTGTCAAAGCCTCAGTAAAGTTAATTAGAGGACACTTGCAACTAATCCAGAGCTCCTAAAATCTTGACAATTAGAGATATAGGATCACCAACTAAACACAATATACTACCCAGAGAAAGAAAATGTTTAAAACACTCTTTTTCATTTTTACCTTTTCTTTGAATCATAAACAGTACTATTGTACTAATCTATAACAGTTATCACCAATCTCAAAGCATTATTTTGAGTGTTAAGTTTTTCTATTCATACAAACACCTAATTAAAATAAAGAGGAGAAAGCACACTAGAGGCAACCAACCTGAATGCAAATATATTGTTTTTGATCTTCCTTGTGGCTTTAAGGCTCAATATTACGTTTGCTCTTTTGTAATCTGACCATTTTTGTTCACGTTACTTTCTTTTAAGCTATCAGACTTAATTCCTTTTGTTGATTTTATTACTTAGTAGTTTTTGCTTTTTCTGTTCTAGTCATGATTATAGAAATGAAACCAGGAAATAATACAGAAATGTTTTTTTATGAGACAAATGAAATTTCTCTAAATGTCCCTAAATTTCACAATTAGGAAAGGAGACTCATTTGTTCATCACTGAATATGAGTGAGGAAATCAGGAATTTGCAGGAATCTAATTTTTTATGATATAACATACATATACATCTTTGTAAACATTACATGAAAAATACAAATTCACATTTATGTCTTTGTGAATACCTACAGCCAACTCAACATACTAAACATAAAAGTACAGAATTATGTTTCAGAAATCATCTTTAAAAGAAGCAGCACTACACACAGTTAATGAATTTATTATAACACAAATATAATGCAGATGATTTATGGTCTCTCTATATTACTTCATTTATATGAAATGTCCTTCTCTGGTGCAGATCAGAATAAATACCCCCAATAGATTTCTTGTTTAAAAAAAAATGGGCACATTTTTGGTCTTCAAGTTTTAAAATCAGGGAACATATTCCATGTGTAAAAAAAATAAGTAAAATAAACTCTTAGCTTTGTTTAGAACCTGGATTCCCCCCTCCCCCCCCCCCCCCCCCCCACACACACACACACACACAGTCTGTGTGAGCATGCATGTCACTTTCATATGTATTCTCACCATTACTGGGATTGTCGCCAATGATATGATGGCGCCCACTCCAGTACCACAGCAGCAGAGTAGCATCTCTGGACCCAGAAACAATGTAGCAGTCTCCACCGATGTAAGACTCCGATCTGGCCAGACAGATCACCACGTCCCAGTGGCCAAAAATGATCTGAGTCAGCTTGCCTTTGGAGAAGAGCGAGTACATGGCATTCAGCACTGGTATTATCTCTGGTTTGGACCAGCTGACTTGGTTTAATTTTCTGACTCATTTAGGATGAAAAACTCAAAGAGGAAAAAAATAATCATAAACAATAAAAACAAAAGTTTCAATCTTCAAAGAAATCTTCATTTTTGAACAACTTGCAGCGGCCAGCTGTTTGACACAAACATCTAAGCAGCATCTTGTACTCGTAGCAGCATAATCAGAAGAGAATATTTCTCTGGATACAGTACATTTGGCTTTTTTTCCTACACAGTATGTCAGGAGAGAGTTGCACCAATACTGTATCATTACTGTCATAACACTCAGTCCTCCACACATCAGTGCACACCTCTGTAGGAAATAGAGTTTTACACTATAACCTACCTGTCTCTGAGGAGTACACACGGAAGCTCTTGTCCCAGAAGCCACACACCAGGATGTAGCGGTTGTCAGCTGTCACCACAAAACAGTGTGTGGTGATTTGAATGCTTTGGTCCACTAGGTCTGTGATCTGACGCTTGTTGCTGCCAGTGTTGTTGGCTGAGGAGAAGAAGAAGAAAGAAACTGAGGTGGCACATGCAATTTTTAACTTTTTGATCCCAGCTCCTACAGCTACAATAATTATTTATGGAAAATGTAAAATTTTGTTAGTGACTTTCCCTCTTTTACTCACCAACCAGTGAATCCATCTCTATGGGGAGATGATGTGCCTGTTCCAGAGAGTATCCTGGTGCTCCTCTGAGACCTGGACTCGGGTATAGATGCACAAAGCTTTCACTAATCACTGCATATTTATATGCACAAATACACATTTGTTCATAATCTTTTCTTAAGATGCAAATATTAGAGGTCAGTTCATTTTACTATGGCTATTTTCCACATTGTCAAATTCCATGAAGTCATTTTACTCAGGTGGACAATATTCTCGAGTCAATTTTAAATTAAAATCATGCTTAAAAATTGCCATGACTTTATCATTCTTATTTTAAAAAGTCAATTTTTCCCCCTCTGCAACAGGATGGTAAGGGTGCTGCAGCTGTGTTCATTAAGCACAGCCACACAATACAGACACTTTGGTCTTGAGCTCCACGCATTTCTACAGTGACAGATGGGAATGTGTGAGGAGAATGTGGTGCAGTTGTGGCCTAATTGCCAAGTAACTATTGCTTTGGCCCTCTGACCCTGAGGTGAGGTGGATTCTTAGGAAGGGGATTTGTGGGTAAGGTTGTTCACACATGTCTGAAAAGAAACATGTGGAAACATTCATGGTCCGCTTACCTGAAAGGTGCTAGCTGCGCGCACAGACAGCTTGCAACAGCTCTATTATGAGCAGTGGGCAGGTTTTTGTGTGTGACTGTGATGAAGTGATTTTGCAGCGCCACTGCTGTGGTAGGTATCACATGTGGTGTGGCACACTTTTTTTTTCAGAGCACATGTGTGTATGATTAAACCTATCACCTCCTATGTGAGTTTGGCTCCACTCACCTACAGTGTTGTGCCATCGATTGACGGCAAACAGTCGGCTGCATGTGACAGTAACCACAGCGGGTATGGTGAGATGGGGCAGGGTGTTGGCAGCCACATGGGTTACTGGCGAATTGGATGGAAACTTCAACACCATTATGACATCCTGCTGCATCTGGTCTTTGAACATGAGAGGACTCTGTGGAAGGAAACACTGTTGAGTAGAAGAGTGAAAGGACAAAAAATGGAAAAAAAAAATGGAGGGGCATGATGGGGAGAGAGGATGAGCACAAGGGGAAAAAAGGAGCAAGACAAGAGGGAATGGAGAAGATGTAAAGGAGAGGTATGAACACGAGAGAAAAATAATGTAAGAAGGATTAGTGTGGCGATTGGAGGACCAACTAGGTTCAGAAACAGAGGAGAACTTCATGCAGTGTCACCACTGGACAGTTTTCTGGCAGGAGATTAAGACAGAGGAGGACAGAAATACTGGGATGAAGGAGACGACTCACATGAGATGATTCATACAGAAAAAGTGTGTCAAAAACACTGACTGAATTTGAACAAGGTTGTACTTTTAAAAATATATTCATGTTTTAATTGCAAATTCTTTTCAGCTTTTACAACTCATAGTCACTCTGCATGTGTGACAGGAATAAAAGCAACCAATAACAACAGTACTGTTTGGGTTTTAGCTCTCATCTTGATCCATCCATTATCTTTACCCGCTTCTTCCTTTTTGGGTCGCGGGGGTCACTGGTGCTCACATCCAGCTAGCACTGTGAAAGAGGCAGGGTACACCCTGGACAGGTCTCCAGTCCATCACAGGGCCCCATAGAGACAAACGAGACAAACAACCATTCACTCTCACTCACACCTAGGGACAATTTAGAGTTACCAATCATGTTTATCAAGAATCCAACATTAAACTCCTCTTTGGCAACAACAAAGAATTAAAGTAATTTTATGAAGATTTGTTGTTCAGTTATTTGTATTGTCTGTAAATAGAGGGTTATGTGTAGCTAAGGAGAGGAAGGTTATACTGTAACATGGATTGGATAAGGAAAAGCAGCCATAGTATGGAGAGGGTAGCCTTTAAGGCCAGTAGAGAGCACTGTTCACTTTAAACTCTGAACCAGCTAGAAAAGACTGCATGCTACTGGTACTCCAAACCTATTGAGGGTCTATGACCTACATGAGGTAAAGACATCACAAATATTCCAACTTTGTTATAAAAAAGTAGATATAAAAAAAAAATGGAAAGAAGTGACAACGCAGATTCATCTTTTGCAGATTTGTGTCTATACCTTTAACAACTTTCTCTGTATCACACAATAGATTTATCCATCTTTCCTCCCACACATACACACACTCCACATCCGAAGGTGCAGAGAATGTCCCCAACATGCTCTCTATTCTCACCAGGTGCATGGCGGAGCTGCGTGGAGGATGTGGCTCGATAAGCAACTGGGATGGCGTCTGTCCAAAGCTCTGGATCTGCGCCTCTGTGGCCTACGGGGGAGAGAGAAAGAAGGGAGAGAGTGGCTGTCACAATCAATATGCATCAAAGTGATGGGTCAATGCGTTACTTGACAATGCAAGCAAATCCTAACTCAGCCGTGCCTCTGAGGAAGGGTGGGGGGTGGGGTGGAGTTAAGGGAAAGGGGTGCACTCCCAATCCGCCTGGGTGCTCCCCCTTCCCCCACTGCCTGCAGAGTCATCCAAGTGTTAGTATGGAAGAGACAAGCCTTTTCCTATTAACATGCTTCAGTTAACCATTCCCATTTCCAGGAGCAGGGGCCCCGACTGCACAAACGTTAACCTGGAGTGACATCCAGCTAGAACTGCAGCAGGCCGGCATACTTTCAGATGTTATTGTGCTTGAAACAAAGGAGAAAATCATGTGTGTGTGTGTGTGTGTTTGTGTGTGTGTGTGTGTTTTATATATACACACACAGAGAGAGATAGAAAACACAACACTAAACAAGTAAGGTGTGGTTAGTCGGTTAGGTAAAATAGAATAAAGAATGATTTATGGGGTACAAACTCTGAGCCTATAGAAGATTGTGGCTAACGAGGAGAAAAACCATAAACAATCAATCAAGTCATATAACAAGAAGCAGAAAACAATAGCAAATACAAATAAAACTAATGCTATTTTTAGAAAACAATTTAAATTTACAACTAATAAAATAAATCTCCTGTCTTGTAACGCGCGCGCGCGAGAGAGAAAAAAACAGTAAAAGCTGCTGAGCTTGACTGAAAGCAGGGCAATCCAAGGAGGGAGTGATTGATGTGAGTGGAACTACTTCCACCATCAGAGGAGCTTGTAGATGTCCGTCAATGCCATTGTGCACAATGGAACATACATCGCTCAGCCTTTCTTTTGCCCCTCTGACTGCTTGGGTGAGTGGCCCTCATTTTCCTCAGCCTGTACACACCACTCAGTATCAAAAGGACCCGTTGGGTAGCACATGCCACAGCAGGATATATGGCACTGGAAACTTGGAGGTGATACAGATTTAGGACAGGCCACCTGCAAGGCACACAGTTGCCCCCAACCCCAATCACTCCATATTTTCCACAGCACCAAAAAAAAATAAAAAAAATCACAGTCCACACACAGATGAGTGCTACTGGATAGTTGTCAAAATTGTGCAAGAGTCGGTGAGTGCATTTGGCAAACATGAGGTGTTTTTGTTTATAACACAGTCCATCAAATAACAAGCATCTGACATTATAGATATTTAAGATAGGACTGAGGTCACAATTGCTTTGTTAAAAAAATACAACAATAAAAAAGGCTGAAAGGGAATGTGGAAAAACAATATTTATCACTGAATGACTCGTTTTGGTATTATTAGACACATTTCAAAGAGCACAGTAGCCATCTTTCCTTATGCATTTGTTTTAAGAGTGGGTTGGTGAAGAGGATTTGGCATGTTGAAGGTGAACCCATGAACTTTTTCTTTCAGAAAATGATCCAAACATGTCACCATTTCTCAGCTCCTTAAACACTAATCCCCAAAGATTTCTGTCAAAATTCTACCTGGATCAGAGGTGGAGAGTAAATAACAGGTTATTCATTAATTTAAGTCACTGCAGGCTTTGCTTTTTGGCTCATAAGTGACACTCATTGCTAAAGCCATGCAGATAATCTCCCCTTAAAGCAAAAAATACACTGCTTCAATGAACACCAGACATCTAAAATTGCATCTACTTGTCCGTGTGACTTTGTTCGCATTCAATTTTGGAAGAACCCAAAAAGTTCTGAAGTGAATAGCTGCTGTTCTCTGTGGATCTACTTTTGGATTTCTAAATCGATGACAAGGAGTCCAACGCAGGATGAGCTCCCATCACAACCCTCCGGTGCACTCATGCGATGCAGCAACACAACAGCTCTGTCACGCAGATTGCAGACATGGCCTTGAGCTGACCCAGTAAGCAGTGTGGGATCATGCTGAATCACACCAGTGGCAGTTACAAACACAAACCTTCTCCTTTAACCTTAATAAAAGTCATAGATTATAAACAGCAAATTAAGTTCAATAACTAAAGGCTTTTAAGCGATGCAAATAGATGAAAAAAACAACAACAAAGCAATTAAATTGATACAGAAACCATGCATGTACAGAAACCTGACTGTTTTCTTGTGTGATGACACAGCTGTCCATTCTTTACATGCCACTGAAAATTATTTTTAAAATGAGCTTGTTTGGATTTTAATCCTCAACTTATAAAAAGAAAGAATTGCCTTGAGGGTGTTTCTTGAGTGACAGCTTTGGAGGTGGCGTGCACAGCTATATGCAACAGCAAAAAAATGTCTTCAACAATATGTCCACCTGCAAGTGACTTCCTCTAAAGCAGCTTTCATCACAGATGATGCAAATTAAAATCTATATGTTATGTGAAACAGAGACTGTAATGTCAAGCATTTGAACAGTTGCGTTCCACCAGCACCATTAGAACATCAAGGTAAAGTCAATTTAAAGAATGTCAACTGCCTTCCAGCTTGTCATAAAGCTAGCTACAATGCACTTTGCTGTCTTTGTTGATTCAGAGGGGGCAGGAGGGGCAGCGGCAGGAGAAGCAAGAGTCCCACTGATGAATAATTTGTCTGTTTACTTCTGAGTGACACGGTGGGGTCTAAATCAAGGGGTTGCTGTCATGTTTTTCCATAAGAAAAGGGTGTCAGGAGAGGCATCGCAGCGAAGGACTGCTGTTCCGGCAGTGTGCCCAGTAGAGCTGTCACTTCTTCCTCAACCACAGACCAGAGGGTCTGGCAGCATGTCAGACGGTGTCATCATTTTCATCTGACACGCACAAGGAAATTATCTCTCATGACCTCTAATTTCTTGACATTTCAAATGCCTTAATTGTTGTGACTAATGCCAAGTCTGCAGTTTCACCTGGCAGGCTCAGAATGAATCAATACCTCAGAGTCAATCACTGCATTTCAGCTGATCTTAACCTGACAGTCACTGGGCAAATGTCCATGCTCCACCTCCTTGACTCATCCAGGGAAGTCACGGTCTGGGCTATGTGGGATGGTAGGAGCAGTTAACAGTGATGAGCCTAAAACCACAACACATCAATCAGTAAGTTTTAATTTGCCAAAGATTTTTAAACTAATTATTGCTCTGATCGAGGTGGCAGCTTCTGTTTTCTCCTCCCACGTTTTTTTCCTTCCTCCTGCTCTGCTCTCTGTCTGTCTGAAGCACCTGGGTCTCATCTCCCGAACATAAATTAAGAAGATTATGGATTTGGTATCGTGGGTGTTCAACTCTATTGATAAGATTTTTTTCATCAAAGCGACAAGGTCCTGGGGAACCGGCATGTCCAGCTGAGACTCACGCTGTGGCGTACGTCATGGATTCGTGGGGAGTGTGGCAGATGATGTGCCTCTCTGTTCTGTCTCAAGAAGATGTTGAAGACGTTTACATATTTGGACTTATGATAGCAGGGACTCTGCTTTTTGGCATCGGCGGGGCTCTGTTTTATCGACTTTTGAAGAAGACACCGGGAGCAGTTTTGGGCATGGAAAAGCTCCCGAGTCAGTGTGAAGGTCTGGTACTTGCTGTGGGAACTTTAAATCGTCTGGTCTACGAGCTTAACCGTAAGGTGGAGGCGATTGAGAATCGCAGACCACCTGCGGCTTCTGGGACTCGTCAGCGTGGTGGGTTTGACCTTGAAGGAGACTCATAGCATGGATCAGTGAAACTTAATTCCACGATTAGGCTTTTTCGGAACCAGAACGCCAAGATGGACTCAAGGCTGAAGAAAAAAATCTGTCTGCCTGAAGAAAAACAAAATCAAGCTCATCTAATCTGACTCCCAATGGCCTCGGAGACGGGCTGACTATCAAATTTCTCCTGGGACATGAGTACCCAAGGACAAAAGCTTCATCTATCGCACCCCCTCGAGAACTCTCTGTGCAGGCTTATCAGAACTGCTGGCTGAAAACAACATCTTCAGAAACTGTGGCTGATCTGACAAAAAAAAGCTCATGGACAAATCTCAACACCTTGATGTCAAATGCAAATGTAATCATGTTTTAATTGTGCTTGCTGGTAGAGTTTTTTGATGTCTCAAATCATGTCCTGATAGACAAGATGTGAAAGATCTTTTTTTGTAATACCACTATCTACCCTCATGTTTCTCCCTCTTTTCCTATCTAAGATTATTATCTGATAAGGATAAAATGGCCGCGCTCTCCTGTAGTTGCAGCTTCGTGCACTCCGCCCATCTTTCGGACGACTGTACGTACATATTCGCGTTGTACCTCGGTGCAGTTCCAATAAAGTTTATTCTGATTCTGATTCTGAAAAGAAATTGACAAATTCCAATTAAATGTTTTGGTCCCAGCAAATAAAATAACCTTTGCAAGTGGTATTTTCAAGCAATAATATATAAATGTATACATATTATATATACATTTGTGAACATAACTTTACAAAAATATACAAACAAAAAAACAGTTTGGGAGAGCAAACTTCTGACAAGGTGGGATAGACACAGTTCTTGTACGTATTCAGATCTGAGTGAACATAAAAAGTTCATTCACTTGTACACCACTCAACCTTTGGTAAAAACGTAATTAAAGGTGCAGTGGGCAAGATGTGGAAAGACAGAGTTGCACATTGCATCACACTTTACTTACAATTTATGCGTGGTCACAGAAAATATAAAAACAGTACACTTATCCCATAATAGGTTTAACTTTGTGCTGGGCTACATTACAGAGATAAGAGAACAAAATGTTATGAGAAAGACCCATGCCATACTCTGTTTCATATTCAATATACAGGTCATGTCTGTAAATCAAGGTTCTCAAGCATTCCACCTTATAAAATAAAAGGTCAAATTAAAAATATATATTTTTAAAATTTTATGATTTTGCCTCGCTGAAAATCCTTTTAAAAATACTGTATTGTAAGATAAATGCTATATTGGAACTTTATCGACTAGTAAAATAAAGAATCAAACGGTATAAAGACTTGTTATAAACAGTTTTCATATGAATTTTTCATCCATCCATCATATTTTACCCTCTTCTTTCTTTTCGGGTCACTGATGCCAATATCCAGCAGTCACTGTGCAAGAAGTGGGGTACACCATGGACAGTCGCAAGTCCATCACAGGAAAATATGAATTTTCATTATATGAAAAATTGAATGTATCTCCAGTAACGAGTCCAAATAGAAGACTTACTATTATGCAACTAACTGACTAACTAGTGTCATTTCTCGTTACAGTTACAGCCTTTGTAGTTTGAAACAGAATAAATCAAACCTTGTCTGAAACATTTCCTAACATTACGAAAAGCAAACCTTTCACAATGTGGTTTGATAATTAGATGAGCCAAATCTTCTGCAGGTGATTTGCATAGTGGTCACTTGATAAATAAAGGCACCCCTGGAAGTGACAGTATATAAATGACTTGTTTTGCAGACAGCAGATGGTGAATATCACAGGGAGAGAAGGACTCACACTGGAAAGTGTCATGATGCATACCAGCTGCTGCAGTCTCTAGTCTCCACTTCTCTTGCAATTAAGCTGTTCAGTAGTACAACCCAAGCTAAAAGTTATTCAGTTAATTTGTTAAAAAAAAAAGAAGATTCACTTTTTAATGTATGCACTTGGTGACCATTATTGACTGATCAAAGAGCTCAGTGCAATCATTGATCTGAAAAACGGAAAGAACATTAAGAAAATTACTAATAAAATAAAATAGTGAATATAGAAATCTGATGTTTAGCTGAGTGCCATAGACTCATGCTTTATTTTGAGGTTAATAATGTCATCAATAAAGAAAAAAATCCCACTAATAAAGCAAACAGTGAATTAGCAATGCTGCCATTTGCATGCATGGTACATTTACTGGACGTAATAACTGACTGACAGATCTATGATATGGAAGCTGCTGGAGCTAAAACCCTTTTCAAGGACAAATAGATACAGGAAGTTATGTGCATTGTTAATATTAGAGTGAGGGAACAGTTTCCATGGTGACATGTATGAGTGTGTGCATGTATTTGAGCTTTACCTCTCTGAACAAAGGGTCAGTGATACTGTCCAGGCTGATGACGCCTTCATAAGTCAGGTAATGAAATACGTTGAGGGCACGCACTGCCTCTGGGCCTCGCTGTTTGTAGCCGAAAATAAGGTCAATCCACTGATGTAGCTGACATGACACAAACTCGCTTTCCAGAGCCTGTCAGAAGAGTACAGGGCAATTAGAGGTGAGAGGAACACAGTGCCAGGGCCAAAAGACACAAAACAAACTGAACTTTTAAACACAGCAAAACACAGCCAGCACATAGTATGTCATTGTGATATTACATTTGATTTTCTACATAACAAAATTGGAGAAAAAAATAATACAAATTACATGAAAACTGCTTTAACTGCAGTGACACTGTGCAAAATATAGGTAGCTTAAAAAAGTGTAATCTTAGTGATTCAGCTCTGACCATCACATGATGGTTGTGGATCATGTCAGCATTGAAAAACTCTTCAAGAAAATCTTCACATATTGTTAATGTTTAGCATAGAAAGTGGCTGTTATCATAATGAACCGGCTGAGAAGATGATTGCACCAAAAGATGCCTTGGAAAAATTAGGGAATTTAATTCTTTCATCTGTGTATCTCCATTAAATTCATGAAAAATATGGGCTCTTGCCTCTCAGCCAAGATAAAAATAACTCACTAAAATAACTGAAGTATTTAACCTTTATACTGGCACAGATATTACAGGAGAAGCAGAAAGACAAGTTCTTGCCTATTAATTTAATGAGCCAACTCAGGGCATGCTTCTCACATTCCTCTGTCCACTTAAAACAGTATTTTGCAAGGAGACAAAAAAATTCATTCATTAATAACAGTCTATTGTCTTCAATGTCTGTCTGCAGATGAAAAATTGATTTAAAAAATGTAAAAGGAGTTTGCGTGTGTGGGCGTATGGGTAACAGTGATAGATTCAGAATAAAATTTTAGAACCTATTTTAAAGTACCTATAGTAACCATGCAAAGGAGGTTATTGGATTGTTCCAAAGAATGGTACAACATAATACCCATGCATGCTGAGGTGAAGCTTTGCTAAAGAAATTTACACTCCTCCCCTTGCGTCAGGAATAACAGCCATTACCAACAAAGCCTTCTCGAGCACACAGAGGCAGAATTTGCCACAGGGCATATCACGACAATTGAAAGTGGCACATGCAAAGATGGGAAGTGGGAGGAGGAGGGGAGAGAGAGGAAGAAAGAAAGCAGAGGGAAGGGAAAAAAGGGAGAGAAAGGGGGAGGCAGTCAAAGAGATTCACTGACAGAAATGAAATAAAAGAGGAAGTTAGTGTGGGCTAGCTAGGGAAGAGAACAAAAGAAAGAAAAAAATGTAGGCAGAGGACTATGATTTTCTGGGTGTTTGAATGCACTGAAATCTAACAATGGAAGGCAACATCACACACATCCCATCAACAGTGAGAAAATATCCACTGAGAAATATTTTTGCCATTTGCAATTGTCCTCTTTTGTTGTTGTTGTTCTAGAGATGCAGACATGTCTGTAACAGTTCCTTACTTCTCCCATTCCCTCCCCAGCTCTGCTAGTTTACAAGCTTGATTAAGCTCAACCAGGCAGTGTGGGTAGAGCAGGAAGAAAGGTCACCTGCATAAAACCAGCCAAACTGTGTCACTCCAGCTGAAAAGGTCAGCAGTGTTCCCACAGCGTTCCTCCACCTCAAGTCCAAAAACACAGTGGCCCCTAACCTCAGGATATATTGTTTCCTCCAAGCTGGTTTTGGAGTAGAAACTACTCATTTCACCTAAATTAGAAAGTATAGGCACGCCAACCAGGGTTCTCTCTCTCCCTCCAAAATTATGAAACATATTTTGGTTGCATTGCATATAATTTTAGACCAATGGAAATTGACGTTTCATTCTGAATATGCCACTGCTCAAGTTTCAAACATTAGTTACAGTTCTGATGGCCTATAAATAACTTGAATGTCAGCATTTGTTACATAAATATAACCATTCTGGGAAATCAGATTTTACCTGAACAAATGTCTCACGTACTGTTCTTCAAACGTGTTGGGAATCAAGAGTCAGCTGTCTGTATTAAACAGATGCACACATTCAGGGAAGAGGTCCTGCTCCCTACCAAAAACATGGGGCCAGACATTGCAGAAGGTAACACTATAGTACCAACTTGCCCTCAGCCTTGAGCTTCAGTGACATTGGGGTCGGGGGTGCAGTAAGAGTTCTGAGCAATGTGCTTTATTGGACAGTTCATGAATAAGACAAGAAGACACAGATGTATTGGAAGATCAGAATAAAGAGTTGGGAATTGATCTAAGTGCTACCACGAGGATGAAAACAAAAGTAAGAAGTTTTGTTAGAATAAATATTACAAACATCACTTATGAATATGGATTTCCACAGCAAATACAAGTTGCATATTGTTTTAGTAAACCTGTTAGAAATAAAATAAAAATGGGCAATTGTCCTGATTTAACTCATAGTAAACATGTAACAGATTAAAAAATAGGTGGTATATCTGAATGTTTTTATTAATATGCATGCTTTTATGCCCATGTTAGTATTTTTTTTCAAAAACATTTGCCTTTGATTTACATTTAATCTTTATTACATGGGTCAGTAACATGTTTAAAAACATGCTTTAAAAAAGTTTTATTTTCAAATTTCTGATACTTTATCACAAGTTTGTTAAAAAAATTCCTTAGTATATTGTATATATTTTTAAATTTGCATTTGCTTTATATAATATGATTATTCATTATTATATTTTTCTAAAGACAGCCTTAGTAACAAAAACTAAAACAATATTCTCATTTTCATATTGACTTTGTTACACTGTGTTTAAATAAAAATAACTATGTATATATACATAGAGATTTGTAGATTTTATATACATATAGTAGGGTTATTTATTATTTACTTTGTTTTCTATCCGACTATAAGGCTTACCATTCTGTTTATCCTAACAAGGTCCTCAGGCTTTTTGGCCCATGCCGGCAAGTCGACATCACAGATCATGTTTCCATCTTCCCTCATTCCAAGATGGTAGCCGTTACTGTTGACAAACATCTCGGGAAGATAGTAAAACTCGGGAATCAGTTCCTGAGAAAGAGAGATGTTCATCTGTTACAACTCACTAAAAAAGCTGAACAAAGCTGAACACAAAAGACAAACCTGTAATTGCCAAACATCTCGGCAGAAATGAACAACAACCCCAACTGTTAGTGCAGAGTGATCAAAAGAAGAAGAAGAAAAACACTGAAAAAAGAGACTCTGTATCCCACTGAGATGAAGTGGAAATTTAAGGGGAAAGGTAACACAAACAAACTGAACAGCGGGCCATGAGAAGGTCGTAGAGAGGTGCTAGTCCAGTTATTCCAGGCAGAGGTGTTAGCTGTGTTAAATGAAACTGGAACTGAGTTGGGTTTTTCCTCCCTGGTCTCTGGGCTCTTGTGATGGGGTCAGGACCTTGCTGTGGAGGGGAAGTCAGCTTGGTAAAAGAGCCCCATATGTAAAGCCTGGCATGATTTCCAACACGGAAGAAAAGGGTAAATATTTATCTGCACTTTAAGACAAGATTATTCCAACAGAACTGTCTTCAGTAGCCAAAAACATCATCATGAATACTTGGATTTTAGATCTGGTTGTACACAGCATTGAAACTTTTACTATAAATGCAGTTCAAAGCACAAATTTATGAGTAGCTCTTTAAAACAAATAACATTTAACATCAGGTTCTGAAATATAAGAATCAAAGTTTATATTTTTTTCCTTTTAAATAAAGACATTGTTCTTTTAAATTATTGTTCTTTTATATAATTTCCCTCTGGGATTAATAAAGTATTTTTGAATTGAATTTAATTAAAAGTATAATATTTTGCTCAACTTCTGTCATTGTTGAGCTGAAAAGCTGCCTCTGTTTTGTGAAGCACATTGGTGAAAGAATCTAGTGCAAAAGCACTATTCTGCCTATACATGTACCTTTTTGGGCTGCGGGGGTTGCCAGTGCACATGTCCAGCAGTCACTGTGCGAGAGGCGGGATAGACCCTGGACAGGTTGCAAGCCCATCACAGGGACACATAGAGGCAAATGAGACAAACAACCATTCACTCTCTCACTCACACCTAGGGACAATTTAGCGTTACCAATCAGCCTAACATGCATGTTGTTGGTCTGTGGGAGGAAACCCGAATACCTGGAGAAAACCCACGCATGCACCGAGAGAACATGCAAACTCAACCCAGAACTACCCAGAAAAGCCCCCGGACCAGGATTTGAACCAGGGTAACCTGCTCACTGAGAGGCAAGAGCTCTACCAACTGAGCCACCGTGCTGCCCCTATAAATGAACCTACCTTTTAATTGTCTTCAGAGGTTCAAATATAACTAAAATATATTAGAAAAATGTGGGCTAATTAATTGGCCAATTGAGCATTTGGTATCGGTATGCTCATTGGAAAAACAAACAAATTAGAAATAGCTGGCTATCTCTACAAATTATATTATAGAATAACATTCAAATCAGTATCTGATCTGTTATTCATTTAAGAAATGCAGGTTTAGGTTCAGTGGCATTATGGAGATTTATTTTCCCTATGGGAAACAACATGCTGGGATTTTAGGTTATATAAATTACTAGGTTTTGACAGTATAAGCTGCCATGACACGATACAGACCAATAAGACTACCGGTCTGCTCCTGGTCAAGTTTCACCCACTGTGCAGCAAAGGCAGTAAATAAACCATTCCTTTTTATTTCCCTCCATCTCCCACATACGTAGCCATCCTCTGCACAACCACACTTTCCCTCCCCTTTTTCTGCTGCAAACTTCCTGCCGTAACTCACCGCCAAGCTGTTAAAACTGCCAGCTCCGTTTTCAAGCCACCCTCCCATGGTAGCCATTAATTCTGCAACAGCATCGTAATGGGCTAACAAGTCAATCACTCAAGCCTCCATTGCTTTACACTGTGTCACCTTAATGACATGTTTGTCAAAATCTGTCACCAGTGGAGTGCTGCTGGATTCCTTCAGACAACATAGTGTTAGTCTTTGTATGTGAGTGTGTTTATGTGTGTGTTGCTATATGCCCACTAGTTTAAAGAAAACTCTGCTCTCTTTGCCCACGGGCAGCTATGCCAGCATAGCATGACTGTATGTGTGCACAAAAATAAATGAGCAGCATGGAGCCACATTAACATTAATGAGGGGATGGTCGAGGAGGTGAGATCCTTGGTTGTGCAAAAGTGTTTCCTTTTGACTTGTTCTTTTAGGAGGTCATCCCCATCAAAAATTCAGCCTCCCTATGGCTTGTCATCATTACTAAAGAAGGGGGTTGAGGTTAATGAAAGAGAGACACTGGTTAGGAGGAAAAAAGAAAAAACAAGCTCCCCTTTAATCATGGGCCCAATGAGCTGCTCCATGACCTGGACCCATACTCACTTTGACCCTATGTTACATAATGTCTTACCATTGTGGTAGAATTAAGAGTTATTGATACTGTATTGTAATTATTTTAAAAGCAGTATGAAAGATAGAATACGTGGACAAACAAACCAAATAGAACGACAGCCATTCCACTAGTATTGACTTATAGGCTGCTCTGCCAGTAGCCCAAACCTTTCCTGTAATATGTTACCTCCTGTAATGTATTATGAAACACTGATAGCAAGCCTGCACTGTCCTTCACAGTGCAATGCTTCTCCTAATAGTTAAGCAACTGTCCTGTGTGTAAAAACAAATGCATGCAGACACACAAGTAGTTAAAAGTAGACCATATTTGTTAACATGGTGGTGTTTGACCATCAAGTTGTTCGCTAGCTCAGAGTGTTTTACCTCTTCCTCACATAAATTGTTGGCTCTCCCCCAGATCCTGGCAAGTAAAAGGCCCTGCTGTACATAAAAGACTACATTTTAAATAGCTTTTGTCATTAATGCTTTATTAATTGCCTGAGGCAACAGTACTCGATGCAGGGTGTGCTAGAAATATATGACACTTTGAGGTCAGCGCGTATCCCTGCTGCGTGTTATGCAGTGGGCAAAATGAAGGCAAATCAGCAGGGTTCAGCATTTTCAGTGAGCACTCTGAATGTGCAGAGACGGGGCTTTGTGTTTTCCCTTCAGATGCAGGCTTTGTTCAAGATTATTCTACCTTTGAAATTGTTTGGTTTTCTGAATAAAATACAAATGTGCACTGGGTGTAGCTGTGCACAGTAGTTCTTTATGATGTTTTTGTTTGAATAAGGCAGTTATGTACATTGATAAACTTTTTGCTTATGCAGTCTCCTAAAGATCTATATGCACACTGATTAGTTTTATGTATAATGTTAAATTATACCATTTATTTACTACTTTTGTTGTTACGATGAAGACAGCTGCAGTAGCTTAAAGAAGATAAAAGCAGACATTTTGATGGTTCTTGGAACACTAAGTAAACAAAACAGACCATGAGCTGTACTCCTTATTTAAAGCATGATTCTCACCTTTACATCAGATGTGTCTCTTTGACAGTTTCTCCAGGAGCGAGCAATGGAAGAAAACGTGCGGTCAGGATGGTCAAATTTGTTTTTATTGGCGTTGAGAAAAAACGTAGTGAAGGGCTCCTGCCAAGGGAAATAAAACATAACAAGATCAAAGAGCTGTCCTCAATTTAAAAATTACGATTACTTTTATTTTTTTATGATCTTGACATTTCTACTTTAAGCATCAATATTACAATGCACTTATTTAAAATTAATACAACCTTTTAAATTGCAAAGGTCACTCACTTGTTTTAAACACATGTACTTAATTTGAATTTTATGCATGCTTTTCTAAGGGATCCCTTAAGACATCTTTTTTTTAAACACTGTATCCAAACCTGAGAGAATTAATTAGTGTTCTTCCTGAGTAACATAAGGCAACAAATAATAATAAATTAGCAAATTGTGCTTTTCGAAGACTGTGGTAGCAACCATTGTTGCTTGGGGAACTTATAGCTTATCAGCTCATTAATAATGGGTAAAAATGTCAAATTTCTAGGTTGCTTTCAAGTTGCACATAAACCAACTCAGAGAAACTCAGCAGGGTTTAAAGGTCTGGTTTATAGGAAGCATACTGGAGGTACATGTGCCCCCTGCTTCTCCTCCTCAGTAAATGAGGACAGTGCTCAGTAACCTTGATGGACATGTCTCCAGCGCTCACTGGGTTGCCTGAAACACATAAACCTGTCACAGTAGCCTCTGTAAATCATTACCCAGCCACTCTTTATTTAGTTCACATATGCCGGTTTACTGGCCTGTGAAATGTGTTTTCTGAGCAGCATTGGTCTAACTCGGTCCCAGTCAAATTGAAATGTCGAGCAGCGTCCTGTGCAGAAGCCGACACACCTCAAAGTAACAGCATCATCAAGTCTGACAAGTGACAATCAAACATTTGAAAGGAAAAATAAAAAGCTGTCTTTAGTATTGGTTTGACTTAATCACATATTTGACTAATTTTGAACACAGTAGAATAATAGTAAAAGGAGGGTTGTACTCACTATTCTGACAAGCCAATGCAGGGTGGTGGCAGTGGTGGAGTAGTGGGAGTCATAATGACAAGGTGGGATCTGATCATCCTTCCAGGTCTCATAGCGTTCAGCATAAAACGCTGCTCGTTTTGGATTTAATGCACCTACAGGCTAAACAGAAAAATAAACAAATAAATGTCTTAGTTGGTAATGAAGTAAATAAATTATTTGTTCCTTATGTAAGTCTAAGTAAGGAGTTAACTTTAAGGTACAGGTAAGTTTCTTTTAGATGCTCCCTTAGGGATTTCCACAATGATCAAACTCGCATGGAAATTCTGGAAATGTATTTATTTATTTATTTATTTTACACTAGTTACCCTTTCCGAATCAAACCTGGCTCAGAATCTGCAACCTCAGGATAACAAAACTGCAGCAGATGACCGAGCAACAGCAGCAGCCAGTAAGGAAATCCCTTTAAATCACACTTTTTAAAATTGTTTCTGGTTTTAGACTTTAGTCAGAGACTGTGATGAGAAGACAAACTTAACGTGTGATGTCGGCCCTTTGATTCAATTTAATTTAATTTTCAACCTTGAGAAAATACATTGGAGAACATACAAGTTCAATATAGTGTTGAGGAATTTGCTAAACGGTGAGCTACGATGTAGAAAAAAAGAGGTTTAATGAGTCATCACTTCTTTTGTTGTTGGTTTGACTAGTTGGGAGTTTGTGAACTAATATATTTAAAATAAAATAAAAAACCACCAATAACTCGCATTATAAAAAGATAGCTTTTCACTAAAATAAGTAATATAGCAAAACTAAACTCAGAAGTCAAAACAACAATGAATTAAATCTGATTTACCCACAACAATTGGAATATACTGTTTGTTTTCTAAACACACAAGTAAAAACTCCAGTATATAATGAAAACTTTATTTTTAATATTCTGACCTATTAAAACGCCGACACCAGAGATGAACGTATGCCACAATATAGTCCCAGATGTTTGCTGTTACACTATGTGATTGGATTAAAAAATGCAGAAACTATGACAAACAAAAACCATACCAGGCACATGCAGTCCATGAGATACTTAAAAATGGATTAATACACTGTATTTTGCTTTATTGTGCAAACAAACTATTTACGTTTTTTTTAAAATGACCATTTTAACTGCTTTCTTGTCTCAGTTGAAAAGCACATTGCTAGTTGATAGAGAAAAAAATGGACAAAGTTTGAATAAATTATACAATATTTGCCTATTGATTTGTATTTTTAGGACGTTCCATCAATAATACAAAATATTTGTCCAAATTTTAAGGCATCAAGTCCAAAAAAAATCTGACTTGTATATCACTTTAGATACATGAAGACAATTATTTAGTCCCTTGTGTATTGTATCAAATAACTGTAAATAAAATAGTACTGAATAGGAAAAAATTGGTGTAATAATAAGTCTGAAGATGTAAATGCTGGGAAATTTACCAGTGAAGTAAATCTAGTGGAGGTTGATGGAAAGGTCAGATTAGACGCAAAGCTATACTCTGGGATTTTTCTGTCAGACTGCATTATTTCTTTGGAATTTAAAAAGGTCCTGCTGCGGTGACTTACGTCTAAAATTTAAAGGGGTGAACAGGATGATGCACCAAGAATGAAGGGAAACGATACAAGCGTCTCCAGCCAAATGCTGTTTATAATCCATAGATTAACCCAGACTGACCTGATTTACACCAAAAAACTCTGCTCCAAACCCAAAAGTTAATATGGTGCTCGTGTTGTCTCCTTTTCAGTGCTCTTTTGTGCTACTGAGAGTTGTAAATCAAAGTTACTAAGACTTAGGTGTCATTGTGAGATACTCCAGGTCTGCAGAACTAAATGTACATCAATTTTCTGAAACTGAATCATTGTTCTAAATATGCCAGTGTTTCTGGTGAGCATGTAGGAAATACAAATCTATGTATCTCTGAAGATTATCCAATGTAAACACAGAATCTGATTCTGAACATTTGCCATTTTAATGGTATTTTATTATTTATGAAAGAAGTAAAGAAAATAATACTAATTGTGTCTGATAAAGCTAAACAAATCCCAGTGTCAAGACTGAAAACATCAACAGAGTTTAATTATGACGATATACAAATGTAACATTATGCCTACATTTATTTGCCATCCATCCTACCAATTATTTAATTTCTAGACAAAACCTTGGAGGACATGGTTCACAATTTAACCACAGGCTGAGTAATAACCTCAATATTGTATTGGCGCTATCATGGGAGTTTTGCCCTTTGGCAGCTGTTTCATTTCCATGTGTTCTTAATGCAACAAAATTACTTCCATTAAACAAACGTTAAGTAGAGAATAAATTGCTTTCCCTGCATTTTCAATCACACTATTCAATATTAAAGCCTCAGAGGCATATTGGCAGTCAATATTAATATACTCAGTCCAACAGAATCAGTAACAGGCAGGGGGGAAGGGAAACTGGTAATGTGATCAATGGCAGCTTGAAATCTGAAAATAACCTGAAAACTGCAGCTTGGGGGTCAAATGACATGGAATAAATGCCCCCAATCTGACTCAGATGCTTACAAATGAAACAATTTTTTGCATCATTAAAGCTACACTTAAACTGAGGAAAACTAAAGCTTCTGTCAAACTCAGTGAGAGTGAGACAGACGGACTTTTATTCACTTTAAAGATGCTGGATATTATATCAGTGTCAGCACACATTCCTGAAACCTAAAACTTAACTTAAAAAAAGTTAAAAGAAATGGGGACTCTTTTGGGGGGTTTCTTTCTTTAAATTTAATGGCATTCCACATCAGTGTTAGCACAACTGAATAGACTGAAAGAGAAGTTTATTGAGATCTACATAGATTTATGGGGTGGTAATAGCCTTGCATGTGACGTCTTGGCCCAGATGGATTGGGGTGCAAGCCACAAGATGTCTCACACTCCGTCAAACTTCTGCCCGTTGGACTAATGCAGCTTAGAGCAGTGCAGCAGAAAAAAAAATCTATAAAATAGATTTGACAGAGGGGGAAGATTGGTGGAAAAGAGAACTGTAAGTAACACTTGTTTGTGTGTGTGTGTGTGTGTGTGGAAAAATACACAAAAAATACACTTAAATGATTTTAATTTGCATTGCAAATAAATATTTTACACAGAGATATAAATATAGAATGAAAACCATCTAAAATGAAATAATACATGTTATTCTGGTAAAAAAAAAACATCAAAGTTGCTTTAAGGGACATTATAAGGTTATATATAACAGTGTAAGATACATGCATGCAAAAGGAAAATTTATTATTTGCCTCACTGTTGTCAGCATTTGTCTTTACCTAAAAGAAAAAAAAAAGAAAAAAACAACACCCAACACACCTTGATCAAGAGCCAAGAAGAGGAATTTAAAAACTGACAAGGTATTTCCTATTATTCCTTCCATTTGGCTGCACATGAATGAAACTAAAATGTTCTCACAGTGTTCCCAAGTTGTTCAGCCGTGTAAGCATAAAAATAATGAGAAATATGGCATGTAGTGTGGAAATAAACATGATTTTTTTGTTTATTTACAAAACTTGTCATTGGCAGCAAAGTCATACGCAGTATATATGTTGGCATTGCTACATAGCTTTTCTGTTTCCTTAAGTAAGTCAGTTTCACCTAATTGTTATAAACTGTGCAAGCATGAATCGCAAACACAGATCTACACCAAAAATTTCTTAAATACAACAAATAAAAATAAAAATTCTGAGCTAAATACAACACAACCACTCATCATATGACAATGTCTTAGATAATTATAAAAGTTGCGATTAATTATATATATATATATATATATATATATATATATATATATATATATATATATATATATATATGTGTATATATACAAAGTCAGAGGAATGACTTGTCTTCTTTCGCATTTAAAGTGTGAATAGACATTTTTTTTCCCCCAGATTGTTTTTGTTACCATTTTTGTAAAATTGTTATAACATCAAATTAAACAACTATTATTAGTAAGAACATTTTTGTCTGAATATTTTTACATCAAGCTGCTCATTCTAGTGGCAGGTGAAGGTTCAAGGTTCAAGGTGACTATGACTTTATTATCATTCGCATCACATGTGGTACATGAGGTGGAACAATATTGTGCACTTAATGTCCCAGTTACACCCAAAAATAGCAATACAGTACTATAAGCTATACAAAAAAAAAAAAAACAACAACAAAAAAAAAAACAGTATACAAGTATCTAAGATATGAGCTAAACAACACTAATATAATATAATATGGTGTATTAAACAGCAACCTGAACATGAGTCTTTGAAGCTAGACTTATCTTCAAAAGCTTTGAATAATGGCAATCCCCCATGATTGTTTCTAGAAAAGTTCAAACATGAAAAAACTTCTTCCAGTTTAGGACAAAAACTTAACATTTTCAGACATCATAGATGTGCCATTTTGGCCTAATCAGCAACAAAAATATCAAATAAATAAATACCATATTGCAAATATATGTGCCTCTAAAGCATGTTTTGTTCCAATAACACTTAATAAACAAGCTTTTCCTGTGTTCACCTGTTTTTACAGGTAAAAATGTGATTCTCCACATTTAAAGTTTATGTGCATTTTTTGTATGCAGCATTTAAGTTAAAAAAAGTTATTTGTGCTATACATAAATGAACTTGGGTGGTTATTTAAAGTTTTTAGTGGTGTCTAACTGTCCATCTGTTAATAAGCTTTAGTCAGGCTTGTCTCTGTGCAACAAAGAATAATCACCTCTTCTGTTTCTCCTGCATATCACAGTGATCACAGGTAGAAGACAATGAAAACAACTGTATCAGACAGTTTCACACACTCCCATCTGAGTTCATTTCCTGTGTAACACCTGACCCAGTGAAACACATCAGCACAACTAAACAAACTATGATCAAACTTAGATTGGCTTCAGACCCAATCAGGATCATTGCTTGTGTTGCACTCCGAAGCTACAGGAAATGAGTGTGGCTCTTGGTGAGTGAATGTGCAGAGAATGTCTCTCCCTTTGTTTGGTTATATCTAAGCTACCTCCCAAAGAGACGCATATTGCATTTTAAATTTCAAAAGAAATTACATTACTGTATGTTGCTATGGTGCTCTGTCAGGACAAGTCAGTCGTT